AACAGGATGATTGGCCTTTGGAATGGGTTGCCTTCAGATGTTGTAGAGGCAGTAGAGGCTTTAAGATTTTTTTAACTAATTATTTTAATTTAGTTCAGAGGATGGAACAGCTGAGGTGGTTCAATAGGTCTCATGTTGTCCCAAAACATTATGTTATTTTATGTGTGTTTGAGAGCTATTAAACAACTCTATTAGAAAAACTTTTAATAGATTGAAATAATATTAAGTGAAAAAGTTCAGCATCAGCTACAAATTTACTAACACTGGATATAAGTATGACTTATAAGAAAAAAGAACAGCTTAACAAGAAGCTATTAAATGTGAGATGTGAATCTGTGATACATGAATTTGTGTTCTCATATAACTGCATCATTACTAAAACCCTTTGTTAACACAAACCTTGTTTTTGTTTTTTTTCAAGTTATTTTAGTTTTAATAAAATGTGATGTTATTTGGATTTATACCAGTATGTTATATTGACTTCTTTGAATTTTTCTTTTTTTAAGAATACATGTTTGCATGAAGGTGATCTTTCAATGAGTTATTTCTGTCTGTTACTTTATAGTTGCGGGAACAAGAACTTCAGATGTTGCTGCAAAGTTCCTGCGAGATGGGAAACCAATTTCCAGCAAAGAATGTGATATAGCAGTAAAACCAGACATGATTGTTATAACTTTCAAGAAGACTTTTCGTGGCACATCTGGAGACTATGACTTCCAAATTATTAATGCTCAAGGAGAAGACAAGTGCAAGCTCAATATCAACATAACTGGTACTCACAGTATTTTTATGGTTACTCTAATATGTCATAGTAAATACGACAATTTACAAAATCTAGAGAATATTACATATGTAACCTTAGAAAGATAATTATGACAGCCTTACTAGCTATTAGATTAAGTTTGTAGAATAACTTTTTTCTGTTATGAAATTTTTATTTCACTTTTATTTTGAATGAGCATATATTTTTACATCAAAGTGGTTCTTTACATGGGATTTTCTTAAAAGCGTGTTTCCATCTTTGGAAGGAATAATGCATTTTGGATCCAAAAGTATCACAAGAGTGTATTTCCAATATATGGTTTTTTAAATTGTGTTCTATATTTCTTTTTTTCAGTCAGATAATTTGTAATCTTCATGCTTGACCATCTTTATCAATTGCAATGGTTGCCATTTTGTAGGTAGAAGAAGCTATTTTTAATATCCTGTGTCTTAATAGTAAATCCCTCATCACACCAAACATGCTCGCCCTTTCAGCCATGGGGGCGTTATAATGTGATGGTCAATCCCACTATTCGTTGGTAAAAGAGTAGCCCAAGAGTTGGCGGTGGGTGTTGATGACTAGCTGCCTTCCCTCTAGTCTTACACTGCTAAATTAGGGACGGCTAGCGCAGATAGCCCTCGTGTAGCTTTGCGTGAAATTCGAAAACAAACAAACAATAGTAACTTTAAAACAGCAGAATTGAATTGTTTTTCATACATCTTCTGTTTTTATTTTATATTTCGGTAGGCTTAACCAACTACTTTTGTCATAGAAATCTAAACATTTCTTGCAGCATAGTTGTGTTAAATTTCAGAGCATAGGAGCTGCATAACATAAACTATTTAAATTTTAAGACATTTTGCATTTAATTATTAAACAAATGCAAGTACAAATAACTTTTTATTTTCATAGATGTTCCTCAGCCTCCAGAAGGACCCTTGGAAATATTTGATGTTTATAAAGATCGATGTAAGTTATCATGGAAACCACCAAAGGATACAGGAGGACTTCCACTACTGAACTACATTGTGGAACGGCAAGATCTTGGTGTGCGAGGTGGATGGACAGAACTTACCACTACAGAAAGTACAAAGCTTGATGTTACTGATCTTGTAGCCAAGAAGGAATACAAGTTTAGAGTTCGTGCTGTTAACAAAAAGGGAGCTTCTGATCCTTTAGTGGCACCCAAAACAACACTTGCTAAAGATCCTTATGGTACGTGGATGGTAAAACTAGTTCGTATTTAATTTTGTGAACTTTCCTTTTTTGTTGTTGATGTTTATTTTATTTGTAGATGTCATGTTCCCAGTGTGAACTCACATTGTAATGCCTTGCTGTAGACCTTCAAGCTGTTTTACCTATAAAATGTTATATCAAAAGGCTATCAAAAAGAGGCATTTGAAGTTATCATGTGCTATTAAAAAAAAAGTGTTGTTCATCCTTTGTGATGAAGATTGAAAGTTTTTAAATGTCAAGTTAATGAAAATGTATATTGTTATTATTCGCTGTACGTAGTACATTTGTAAGAAGCACAAACCACATCATCATATATGAAGTTTTATAAGTATGGCTCACTCTTCATGAAACCGAATTTTCTATCATTCGTTGTACATTGTAAAGTTAATGAGAAGTGCACACAGAAGACTGCTGATGAAGCCATAAGGTGAATTACTGTGTAATAAAATAACAATTACTCAACTATATTTGATTCAAAGTAAAATCTAATATTTTGTTTTCAAATTTGAATTATAACTGTTGTTAAAGCTTTGTTTTTTTAGATTTTTAATTCATAACTTTCTAAATTGATGGAAAATTATCATACCATATTTGATAATTCAGTGCTTTTATATCTTCTGTTTGGTATCAAACCCAAGACCTCTCACACGTCTCCACAACTGCTAGTCATTTTAACAAATGAGACTGTTGCTTTCTTTCCTTCTCACAAGCAAGATCTATCCTCAGGCCTTACCATAGGGTCATATATGGAATGACAATTGGTTAAGCATCAATTTCTCGTGTGAGAATTTATTTATTTATTTTTTTATTGGACTTGAACACAAGATCTCTCTCATGCCAGGTGATTGTTCTACCAACTATGGTTATTTCTTTAGTGCTTGCTAGTTTTTAAGATACTTTTTAGCAAGCTGGCAACTACATTTTGTATATTGACAAAACTATATTATGAAATTAGCCAGAAATAGTTTTGATATGAAACTTTCATTTAAAAAAAGACCTTGGAATAGTGTCTTATATTTTTGCATATATTTTAAGATGAACCAAGTAAACCTGGAAATATTGAAGTGACTGACTGGGACAAAGACCATGTGGATCTGAAATGGGAGGCTCCAGAGAAAGATGGAGGAGCTCCTATTACTAGCTACGTTATCGAATACAAAGATAAATTTTCAAAGGACTGGAATAAAGGATTAGTAAGGTTCCTTTTACTGTGTAATTAAACAATTTCTCCAGAGTTTCAGTGTCAATTAAATTTATATAATCGTATATGCATTTCTTAGTACCTTTAATCCTATGTGAAAACATTACTATATGAATAAAATAGTTCATGAAAAATTAATTCCAATCAATATGAATAAGTGTGGAAAACGTCTTGTGTGACTGTATTTATTTAGGAAAAAAAGACATATTTCGATAAAAAGTTTTAAAGCACAATATTCTAAATTTTAATTTTTACTCTTAAGATATGAACTATAGCTTCTATGTGTTTTATGAGTAGATCTATGAAGTGAATTATTGGTGCAACACAAACATAGGTATGAATACAAGCATATTTGCATAAAGAAGTAATGTCTTATAAAACATTTGGAAAGAAGTTTTTAATCTATATTTTTTTAGTTAAAGTAATATAGATATAATTGTATTTCATAATATTCATACATTCTGGGAAACCATGTTCATGAAACTTTTGTTTTAGGAAGTACCTGCAGACCAGTTAACTGGCAAAGTTCAAGATTTGAAAGAAGGTGTACAGTATGAATTCCGTGTACGTGCCGTTAATAAGGCAGGACCAGGTGATCCCAGTGATCCAACCAAACCTCTTATTGTAAAAGCCAGATTTGGTAAGCCAACAAATATTTAGGTATTTTATTCAATGCTATTTCTTTTTTATATAGTAATTGATTTCTTCAGTATGGAAAACGTCTTGCACACATACTATATATATGTATATATATACACACAGACACGTACATATACGTGATATATATGTATACATGCATATTGTGTGACTTCTATATGTATATACATATGTTTCAGTTGGAAAAATAATTTGGTATCATACCTAAATAAATATCAAATATTGTTTTTTATATTCAAAATTATTTTGTTATTATTGCCTCATAATTAAATAAGGGATAATTTATTAATAGATATACAATAAAATATACTTACCTATACTTTTCCTATGTTGAAAGCGAAATGTATATTTTTTGTTTTGCTATCATAAAACACTACTTAATATTTGAAATATTATTTTGATATCCAACAGTTAAGCCTTATATTATTGGTGATCAGTTGATCAATATTGTGGTGAAAAAAGGACAGGTTGTGAAGTATGATATCCAGTTTGGTGGTGAGCCTCCTCCCGATGTACTGTGGCAACAAAATGATGTAGAAATCAAGCCATCAAACAAGTGAGTTGTGTGGTATTAAGTGGGTTGAATTCATTATGTTAAAATGTAGAAATCAAGCCATCAAACAAGTGAGTTATGTGGTATTAAGTGGGTTGAATTCATTATGTTAAAATGTAGAAATCAAGCCATCAAACAAGTGAGTTATGTGGTATTAAGTGGGTTGAATTCATTATGTTAAAATGTAGAAATCAAGCCATCAAACAAGTGAGTTGTGTGGTTTTAAGTAGGTTGAATTCATTATGTTAAAATGATTTTAAATATGCAAAGTAGAAAGTCACATGACAACCACAGTCAGTATAAAGTTGTGGTGAAATGGAATGTATCAAAACTACATTTTAGCATTGTTTGGCATTTAATAGGTAATGTAATGCCACCAAAACACTAATTTCTTTTGGGAAGGGCATGTAACAGTTATTTCCAGCACAAAATATTCAAACACACAGATCATGAAGTTGTGCACAGATGGAATATTTATAATTTCAAGAGAGGGATATTTCTTGTGCTTAATAGCATAAGGAAACAAAGGAATAGGAATCAGCTTGGGAAACTAAGACCTTCCAGATGGAGACCTCCAACCAATCATACCACTGCCATGGTAAGCATATTTTGGTGTCTTATAACAGATGAGAATTCATGAACATGAAGGCAACTGTATGCAATGTAATCAAGAAGAATCTCAATCTGGAAAAGTGACACAAGTTTCTTCCCCAACATATTCTTTCAAACATCACTTACCTCAAGCAGCTACAGAATGAAAGTGGTATTTTTGGTACTCCATACAAAAACATATGGTCAAGGTGAAAGATATTGTGTTTATGAATTTCTGTGTAATTGGACTGTTGAAATGGGTGCTGGGGAACCATCGTCTTTGTACAAAAGATGGAGCATGGAAACCTAGCAAGGTGGAATGGTATATTTTGGACATGTGAGCTTTACAATGGAACCTTTTCCAATAGAAGTTATTTAGTAAGGCCATTGCCAAGATGTATGGTCATCAAATGAGTATAACCATATGTGGCAACATGGACTGTGATGACATTTTGAGGCTCCAAGATTGTTTTAGTATAACATACTCAACCTATGTTTATACATATATACACATTTTTCTACTTAAAAATAACACTAAGAAAATAATAATGTTCCATACCTAATTAGTCATCTACAGTATGGGAACCAACAATTAATTAATGTCTGTACTTGAGAAGTAACATATCAGTATGAAAAAATAATACATCAGATTTTTAAAACTTATAATTAAGTGTCAAAGTAAATTGACTTTGCTTTTATTTGCAGAATAACAATTGAGAAAAATAATAGGAACACAGTCATAGTTGTGAAAGATACCACTCGGGCAGACAGTGGAAAGTATAAGTTGACTTTGACCAATACTTCAGGCAGCGTATCATCCATGGGAGAAGTAGTTGTGCTAGGTAAATGTTTAATCATCATATGTGTAAAACAGATAATAATGATTAAGCTATTTAGATTCAGTATAACTCAAATGACTAGTCAGATGCAATGAAGTAAAACCATTTAGGAGTGACCATGATTGGTAGTCTAAGCTATATTAATCAAAAACTTGTCATATTTTTATTACAGAACTAGCATGTAGCCCATAATTTTTGATGGGGCAACTAACCCCCCCCCCCCAACCCTATAGTAGACCCTAACCTCACATTTCATAACTGAAATAAATAAATTTTGCAAAATCAAGCTTGACCAACAAAGAGGCAGAAAAGTGCAGTCGAGGCAGTCAAACATTGATAAATTCCTTTGTTAGCCAATCAAAATTAAGATTATTTGGGACATATTCATAGAATAACTATTGGTAAAAATCAATTAGATTAACAACTTCTAATACAAAGAAAAGCCAGTGTGTTTTGGAAACACTAAATTCCAACAATGGCTTTTATGTCATGTCGCTTAGCAACAAAAGT